CGTCTGCAAACTTTTGCACAAAAAAAATAGGTCCAATACCATAATGCAGTAAATGACACACGTTATCTCATTTTATTCTGGGAATATCCCACACAGTCTATATAAAAAAAAGCTCGGTACCATGATGCCGTGTATGACATATGTTATTTCATTTTATGATGGAAAATCTCACATAGATGGCCCAAAAAAGCTCGGTACCATGATGCCGTGTATGACACATGTTATTTCATTTTATTATGGAAAATCCCACATAAATGGCCCAAAAAAGATCGGTACCATGATGCTGTAAATCACACACGTGACACTTCACTAGTGAAATGTCTGCAAACGTTTGCAACAGAGCTCGATGCCATCATGTGCTTGATGTCAAAAACAGAATGTAGAAGCTTCTGTGTGTAAACGCGTCTGTGTGTAAACGCTTCTGTGTGTAAAAGCGTCTGTGTGTAAAAGCGTCTGTGTGTAAAAGTGTCTAGTGTCTGTGTGTAAAACCTTCTGTGTGTAAAAGTTTCTGTGTGTAAAAGCGTCTCTGTGTAAAAGCGTCTGTGTGTAAAAGCTGCTGTGTGTAAAAGCGTCTCTGTATAAAAGCGTCGCGTTTCTTCACATCCACGCAATGATGGTGCCGAGCTTTTTGGGCAATGTGTATAGGAATTACCATAATAAAATGAGATAACACATGTCATTCGCAGCATCATGGTACCGAGCCTCCTGTGCACTTTTGTTGCTCACATTATATGTCTCCATGTTTTCTTTCTATCCCCCTTTCCTTTCTCTCTCTCTCTCTCTCTCTCTCCCCCCTCTTTCTCTCTATCTATGTCTCTCTGTGGTTGCAAGACACGTGTCATCTGATGCCCTTTACCAAGTATCCTCTTCTTAATCAATCTTACTTTTCACACCTTATCCCTCCATAGCTCATATAGAATTCACCAACCATTCAGTGACTATCTTTTACGACTCGGGCCAACCGTCGTCTAGTTGAAGCAAGGCAGGCTGCTTGCCGATACCAATTCTACAACGGCAACTTGTAGAAAAACTCACACATAGCAAAACAATCACGTGTGCATTTTGCACCTCTGAAGCATGCTGGTCATTGTGTCTGACATGACAGCTCTAGTGACAACATCTACCTGAATGTTCCATATTCTGCTGCATGTGTAGAGACATGTAGAGACAGCTGCTACTTTGAGCTTTGCTTGAATCTGGCCAAGCAATTCTGTACCCAAGGTGGTTCATATCCATAGCATCAACACTGATGAATTGTAAAATGCAGCGGAAACCCACACATGTGGGGAGACAGTGGGAGACAAGGGGGGGCAAAGGGGGACATGAATTTCGGGAAGGCGGACACACCATCCAACAGCACACATGTGGGGAGACCGTGGGAAACAAGGGGCGACAAGGGGAGACAAGGTGAGGCAAGGGGAGACAAGTGGAGACAAGATCCTCGGGAAGGCGGACACACCATCCATTACAGGCACACATGTGGGGAGACAGTGGGAGACAAGGGGAGACAAGGGGAGACAAGACCCTCGGGAAGGCGGACACACTATCCAACGCAGGCACACATGTGGGGAGACAGTGGGAGAAGACAGTGGGAGAAGACAGTGGGAGAAGACAGTGGGAGACAAGGGGGGACAAGGGGAGACAAGTGGAGACAAGACCCTCGGGAAGGCAGACACACCATCCTATGCAGGCACACATGTGGGGAGACAGTCGGAGACAGTGGAAGACTAGGGGAGACACACGGAGACAAGACCCTCGGGAAGGCGGACACACCATCCAACACAGGCACACATGTAGGCAGACAGTGGGAGACAAGAGGAGGCAAGGGGAAACAAGACCCCCGGGAAGGTGGACACACCATCCAACACAGGCACACATGTGGAGAGACAGTGCGAGACAAGGGGAGACAAGGGGAGACAAGGCGAGGCAAGGGGAGACAAGGGGAGACAAGTGGAGACAAGATCCTCAGGAAGGCGGACACACCATCCATTACAGGCACACATGTGGGGAGACAGTGGGAGACAAGGGGAGACAAGGGGAAACAAGTGGAGACAAGACCCTTGGGAAGGCCGACACACCATCCAACACAGGCACACATGTGCGAAGACAGTGGGAGACCAGGGGAGGGAAGGGGATACAAGGGGAGAGACACACCATCCATTACAGGCACACATGTGGGGAGACAGTGGGAGACAAGGGGAGACAAGGGAAAACAAGTGGAGACAAGACCCTCGGGAAGGCGGAGACACCATCCAACACAGGCACATATGTGGGGAGACAAGGGGAGAAAAGGGAAGACAAAGGGGAGACAAGGGGAGACAAGACCCTCGGGAAGGCGGACACACCATCCAACGCAGGCACACATGTGGGGAGACAGCCGGAGACAATGGGAGACAAGCGAAGACAAGGGGAGACAAGACCCTCGGGAAGGTGGACACACCATCCAGCACAGGCACACATGTGGGGAGACAGTGGGAGAAGACAGTGGGAGAAGACAGTGGGGGACAAGGAGACAAGACCCTTGGGAAGGCGGACAAACCAGGCACACATGTGGGGAGACAGTGGGAGACAAGGGGAGACAAGACTCGCGGGAAGGCGGACACACCATCCAATACAGGCACATATGTGGGGAGACAGTGGGAGACAAGGGGAGACAAGGGGATACAAGGGGAGACAAGGGGAGACAAGACCCTCGGGAAGGCGGACACACCATCCAACACAGGCACACATGTGGGGAGACAGTGGGAGACAGTGGGAGACACGGGGAGACAAGGGGAGACAAGGGGAGACAAGGGAAGACAAGACCCGCGGGAAGGCGGACACACCATCCAACACAGGCACACATGTGGGGAGACAGTGGGAGAAAAGGGTGGACAGTGGGAGACAAGGGGAGACAAGGGGAGACAAGACCCGCGGGAAGGCGGACACACCATCCAACACAGGCACATATGTGCGGAGACAGTGGGAGACAGTGGGAGACAAGGGGATACAAGGGGAGACAGACCCTCGGGAAGGCGGACACACCATCCAATACAGGCACACATGTGGGGAGACAGTGGGAGACAAGGGGAGACCGTGGGAGACAAGGGGAGACAAGGGGAGACAAGACCCGCGGGAAGGCGGACACACCATCCAATACAGGCACATATGTGGGGAGACCGTGGGAGACAAGGGGAGACAAGGGGATACAAGGGGAGACAAGACCCTCGGGAAGGCGGACACACCATCCAACACAGGCACACATGTGGGGAGAGAGTGGCAGACAGCGGGAGACAGTGGAGACAAGGGGAGACAAGGGGAGACAAGGGGAGACAAGACCCTCGGGAAGGCGGACACACCATCCAACACAGGCGCACATGTGGGGAGACAGTGGGAGACAAGGGGAGACAAGGGAGGCAAGACCCTCGGGAAGGCGGACACACCATCCAACAGCACGCATGTGGGGAGACAGTGGGAGACAGTGGGAGACAGTGGGAGACGAGGGGAGACAAGGGGGGACAAGGGGAGACAAGGGGAGACAAGACCCGCGGGAAGGCGGACACACGATCCAATACAGGCACATATGTGGGGAGACAGTGGGAGACAAGACAACAGCACACATGTGGGAAGACAGTCGGAGACCGTGGGAGACAGTGGGAGACAGTGGGAGACAAGGGGAGACAAGGGGAGACAAGACCCTCGGGAAGGCGGACACACCATCCAATACAGGCACACATGTGGGGAGACAGTGGGAGACAGTGGGAGACAAGGGGAGACAAGACCCTCGGGAAGGCGGACACACCATCCAACACCAAGGCGGACACCTTAGAAAGCATTAAGAACCCCTAACAGTACACTGTTTGGGGAAAAAACTCAAGACATTTGGTGCAGAGGTTGGCTGTTCGAAGGCGTTTAACCACTACGACACCAGCCCGGACGATCTGTCATTCATCAGTGGAAGCGGTTTGGTTGCCCCACTGGAGGGGGTTAGAACGTGGGTCAATTGCCCGTCGCGATTTTGTCCACATGTGCAAAGAAATCAACATGTTGTGGCAACAAGTTGGAACACACGAAAAGGAAAAGGGCGCGGGATTTCAGTATTCGTACGTCATGTTCATTCGCGATGACGCTTACTGGTTCAAGGACTTCGATTTGGATTTGATGTTGCAAATCACTGGAGGGCGCCGTCATTCTGCAGCCGAGGCCAAATGTTTTCGACTGCGATGCCGCCTCTATGAAGTGGGATATTCATCCTGGAATTGGTGATTACGTGTTCCTTGCTGATCGCGCAGCTGAAAAAAGTAGAATGCTTTTTTTTTGCGGGGTGCCATAATGTTATTTTTGCCCTTGCCCAGAGTACATAGTGAATATAACCAGCTAAGAATTAATATGATTTCAGATTTCAGACGTATCTCGAATTTGCCATGCATGCTGGCAAAGGTGATCCCCATGTTGGAAGTCACTAATCACCATCGCAGCATCCAAGTGAAGAGAGTAACCAGGGTTGAACAACGCCGGGAGTCATAGTTTATCCCTTGATAATCTTGATATATCAAAGGATCAACCGAAACTGTAGTCACTGTAGTCACTGTAGTCACAGCTGCAGACCTCTAAATGTAGTTTGATAATCCCAGTTTCATACTGATTATCTCAAAAGTGAGATGAGATGACTTTGTCTTTTTGCTCTAATTTGGACACTTGATCATTGACGCAGACAAGTATGAACCCACCGTATTTCGCCATAAATGTGGCAGAAGAACTTCTCAAAGTCTTGGAAAGCTTGCCATGTTATCAGAACTCCCCACATTTGTATTGATAGTTCTAATAGATGTTCTAATTTATAACACCACTCAGATGTTCAATCAGTTCTTATTCTTACCCCATCCCAAATTTCAAATTCACATGGAGCCTGGAAATAGTCATGTTTAGTGGACAGGAATCTTTCGACCCACTTGGCAGGGTCAACCATTTTATTCCCCAGTTTTTTTTCCTGTCACCACCGCTCGTGCCGCTCGTGCCAGGCAATGTTTGTTCCTCGCGAATGACTCCAGTGCCACACCCTCACACCCCTGGCAACATGTGGGCTGCACGCTGTGGCCTCTCGGACAGAGCCGACTGGGCAGTGCTTTGTTGGTTTGTGCGATGGACTGGTGATTTAAGCAGCAGAAAACTTGGATTTAAGCAACGGACTGGGAAGATTGTGGTTTTAGTCCGAAAACTGGTGATTGAGCCTGAAATAGGCATTCAACCGACTGATCCCACCAAAAAATATACTTCATACCGAGCCAGGCAGCCAGGATGGGCCCCTGGTAAGCCCAGGTAGCATAACGCCAACCACAACAATCCAACGATTACTTTGTTGAAATCAAACATGTACAGAAACACCCTGAAAAAAGAAACGGAAGTTTGGAAGATGGAATTATCTCATGGAAAGGGCAACAAATGCATCGAGCTCCATTTTACATGTTTATGAGATTACTTACATCCCTGCCAGAGGGATGATCCCAATTGAACCTACAAGAAGCCAGTGGTCCTTTCCACCAGATGCAAGGGTTTCCCATCAAAGGTCAGATGTTGGATTTTTTGATGGTGGTAATTTTCAGTCGGCGTACCAGAACTGGTAATCACACATGGCCTCGGAAATCACCGAAGAATATGGGCTCGGTGAAATAAACGATGGATTTTCCAGGATTTTCCATGGTTCATTCTTCATGTTGCTTCATTTTTTGGCCATGCCGAAATGATTCCGGGCCCAGATGGTTTTCCCAGTTGGCCCCGGCCTACATCACGAAGTCCCAGGAGACCGGAGAAATCCGGGTTTTTTGTGTCACCGTGACAGGTTACATCGCCAAACTCATCGATCCCAAAGACTTCAGGAAATTGATGAACAGCACCGCAGTGGCTCGACAGGATACATGATGGCACATGGATACATATGGATACCCTCCAGTAAATTGACACGGCTAGACTAGACCTGAAAATGGCTAGTGGTAGGGTTAGTCGTGGAAACGTGTGGAAACTTCTTATCCAAGCCTCAATTTGACAGGCTCTATATGAATTTACTGGAGGATAAATCATCATCAACCTCTTCAACATCAGGAGGTCATGTTTTTCGACTGGTTGCAACCCTTTTCTGTTAATTTGTTTTTCTGTTTGGGGACCATTGTCCTACATTCCGAATTATAGAATTTTGAACATAAGTTGCCTGTCATCGTTTTGTTTTTTCACAACATTGGCAGTGTACCATCTGTGTGTGGCTCAGAATTATTGGCAATCGTTTTGGAATAACTAACCAATCAAAAGATGCACATGTCAACGCTAAACACGGCTACTTTTTCTCATTATGGGGTAAAAATCAAGGTGAGACCCCCCAGTTGTAAGTTGGTTTTTAGGCCCGGTGAATTCACCAAGTTATGTGCGACAACTTAGCTATCCTGTTTACAGGGCCTCCCCCATCTGTAAATAGACTGAGTTTTAGGTTTTGTATTGTTCTATCTTTTTAGGTTTTGTATATATTTATTGGGGTTGATATAATGATTTTTATATATATATATATATACGCACACACCCATATTTATTCATAGGTGTGTGCGGGTGCGCGAAGCACCAAACATAACTGGCGGATCCCTTTCGATGGGGTAATCCATGCCGTTTTTGTGCACGCAGCTCGCATCTCACGGGCCCCCCTGGTGTATTGGCCGTGAACGCTTTTCCAATGAGCACCGCGGCAGAAACGCGGGGGAAAAAGGGGTGGAGACGAAAAGATTATGAATTTAACATGGTGGAACCCTTAAAGAAAAAAAGATTGTTTACATGGTTCAAGTATCAAGAACTTAGTGATTTTGCATGATTTAACAAATGAAAATTGGAATTTAAAGCATGAATTACACGTGCAGTATTCAGAACATGGAGTGTCAAAATTGTGATATTTTGGAACCTCGGAAGCAGACTCGCTGTTCACAATCAGACTTTGTGGGATAGAAAATTTGGGAGCACACCTTTGCCCTTTTTTCAAGACGGTCGTGCCATGAAGTGAGGACCATCCGCAGCATTGGCATTGACATAGCAACGCCAAAGAATGTGAAAATGACACGGACGTTACAGAATGCGAATGAAATCATGCAAGATAGAGATATAATTTGGGATTTGCAACATCTACTATTTCGTATTTCGTATGTGTCATGTTTATTCATGTTTCCTCTATTCTTTCTGTGCTTCTGATTTTTCCACCCATCCATACGTACAGTGATCTCAAAAACGGAGAAAAAAAGAGAAATTCGGCCATCAAGCAAACCGGGGAACCGCTCCGCTCTTTATCATCCACAGGACGTCCGTCCCCTACCGATGCGTTAAACTCCATCATTTGTTGATCAATTTTCCCATGTTTTGTTCATGTGTTTTTTTCCGCAACTTTTATCTGTTCAAAACTGTTGTTAAATTCCAATGTTCTGTGAGTTTGAATCTGTGAGTTTGAATCCCACGTTGGTTGATTGAACCAACGTGCTCATGTTCCTTGAAGCCACAGTTTTGCTGCTTCAAATCTCCACTTATTGTACTTGGGGACGCAGTTCCAATGATAAGTGGATATACTATGATATACTTCCATAGTTATTTGGGCAATATCATGTTATTTGCCAGCTTATGGAGGTCAATCACCATGGTACTCTACTTATGCAAATAACCCCAAGTGCACCTAGTAAAATCCCAATTTTGGTTTGTGAAGTCACAATGTTTCCTCGTTAAATCAGCATATTCCCATTTCCCACGTCCTGCATTTCCCACGTGTTGCAGGCATTGGGTGAATTCACATCCGGATTGTGCACCCTGCGACCTAGAGACTTGGCCTTGAAAAAGATATGGGGAGAGTTGAGGGGTGCTGGGGGAAACTATGTTGTGGGATTCACCCTGATTAACCATCAATAACCATCATGATTCATCAAAAATATCAGGAATTGTGATGAATGATGTTGATTGATTGTAATTGTTTAGTGTATAAGCAAGAATTCTATTGGTCAAAACCGGGGTTAATGACTGATATCAAGGGGGGTTGCTGGGGGAACCTTGGGTAGACCTCAAACATTCGAGATTCGCCAGTCGTATGCAATATGGAATTTGATCATCAAACATAGGCACATAAGTGGGAATGATGGGATTAAGCATCAAAACATCCGGCTTTATGCTGATTTATGGAGGTATGAAGCACCAAGTGTGGGTGGTGATTTACGAGTATTTACCAACATGTACCTCCAAAACTGGTCCAAAAGTGTTGTGAAATACACCTGCAGTGTATGATATATATGGGATGTCCCAGAATTGAACGATGGGACTATGTCTCCTCAATAAAAACCTTTGGTTTCAATAGTTTTGCCTTCCAGCCATTGACAAAGAGCCTAGGGTTCTTAGGGTTACTCTCGTTATAAACCACTTAGAATTTGGTGATTCTCCAAGTGTTTGCGACAGATAGGAAAGTCATTCTAAATTCTAATCACTATTTTAGGCTTCTGTTATTCTATCTGATTCTTTTTCATACTAAAGAAATATCCCAGTCATATGGTGATAGGTTTTGACCCATCCCCATTTCATTGGGAGCCAGCCTACGGCTATCGCCAAAGCCAGCCTACGGCTATCACCCCGGTTTCCAGGACACCAACCAGAGCTACGTGGTCGGACCTGCTCCAAGCAGCAACTGGCGTGCAATGCTGTTGTGAGTAATGTGCCTATGTACACAGGTGCATTAAAGTATGCATATGTATAATATATATTTATATAGTCATTACATTTATATATATATATATACATAAATGAATGATCTATATATATATGTGTGTGTGTGATTATATTGTATATATCTATATCCATATCTATATCCATATCTATTTCCATATCTATATCTATATCCATATCCATATCCATATCTATATCTATATCTATATCTGTATCTATATCTATATCTATCTACCTATATTTAAATAGATATCCGAACGATGTGACATGACTTTGTATTTTCGAAAGGTCGTTCTATCTTGGGAGGCCCTCGAGTCGTCATTCTCCAGGCCCTCGACTTCATGGGACATCCAAGTCTGGGTGGAGATTGTAGCGACTTCAGTAGCTACACAGGTGGTACCTCCCCAGTTGAAGGTTGGTTTAAAGCCCCCATGCCATTAGCTACAGATATGTATGTCATGAACCCTAGTTATAACAGGAGGTATGTTTGCCAATTCAGCTATACAACGATTTGGAGCACCACCTTGACCCTGTACTAGAGAAATTTCAGCAGATCTGCTAGCTTTCTCCGCGCATCCGAGGCACCTTCGATAAGAAATTGGAGTTGCTTGGCTTGGGGAGTGACACTTCTACTGGGATGAAAATCATCCCAGTAAGGCCTCAGTAGGGACTCAACACTGGGAAGATTTGGCCAGCTGAATATGGTGCTACTATTGTTGTTGGGGTAAAGAGATGCCCTGGAGTGATGATAGCTACAATGCCTCAACACAAAAACTGTTTGTTTCAGGCTCCCCCTGGTTCATCATCATTGCCCCTATTCTTTTATAGCCATCAATTGTGGCAAGCCCCCCAATTTTCAGACACAGCCACATATACAGACTACATACATGTAAAGAAACACCTCCAAAAGATAAAAAATGTTTGTAGCATGATATGTTTTCCAGATGTTTGACTTGTGGGTTTTGGGGTTGCTATATTATGTGTGTATATATATATATATACATGTAAAACAATGTAGCATATGTATATATCTACTTGTCTATCTCATCTCATCTCATCCTATTCTAATCTAATCTAATCCTATTTTATTCTATCTACGGTGATTTCAAAACCCAAACGGAGCGTAGCTCCATGCGACCAAGGAAGGCCCCCCGCTTTGCGATGTCACAATACACGATGCGGTCTAAGAAATGCGATGTCATTCGGCTGCGACGTAGTTCAGTCAGAGTTGATCTGCAAAGAATGGGGTGAAACACGGTGAAACCAAAAAAACTCGGAGAAGTAAAGCCCATAACATGGTCTAACCAGGGAAAATGGGATTTGGGGAAAAATGGGGATATGATTGGATATGTAAAACCAACCATATGCGCCAATGGCAATTGAATGGGTAAAAATGATCATATTTCAATGGAATTGGCTGTGTCAAGCACCCCATGTTCAGACAAACCCACCTTGCAACTGGTTAGTGACAATTGGGATAAGCCCACCCAATGGGCACTTAGTAAGCAGAATTGTTAACCACTTACATGATCCCACAAGTAGGGACTGTCCCACAAAATCTTGACATGACTCCCGATTGTTCCAAGTACGGCACCTTTGCCTGTTGATTGGTTACGTTTGTTTTCCCACAATTAAAACATATGAAAAAAATCCAAATTCTCACCAATACCATGCAATAGATCAATAGTTCCATCCCTCTAATATTAAGCAACCCCCCCAAAAGGTCCCAAAGAAGTGGTTTTATCCCCTACATCCACCATGGTTTCTCAGCACTACCTGGTTTCGGGATGCCCGGAAAATCGCCGCCAAGTCGGAGACGGGCAGAAGCTTGGCCGAGCGCCTTTCAGAGTATCGATATCTCTACAGCCGTGATCCTGACGAAGACACTTGGCCTCGTGCGTTGTCGTGCTTTCTGCAAGGTCTTGGATTGGAGCTTGGTGATTTGATTTCGGTGATTTTCTTCATGGGGAAATCTACGAATTACTTGAGGATGTTTGTTTGGGAATAGTTTTTGGGGGGAGTTTCTTAATTTAAGTAGATCCAAGATATCCAAGATGATTGTGCTGCAGTGAAAAGGGGTGATGTTCATGGAATACGATGGTGTGAAATCACCGCCAAAAGTGTGGATATGACCCCAGATCCACTTTGGTGATCCACTCTACCTCAGATGAGACTAGCCTTCCTAGTGGTAAACTGGTGGTTTCTCAATTCTGCGGAAATATGATGGGCAAAACATGGCCGCACTGGGTGCAGTTTTCTGCGTTGCCACGTTCTTGGCTCAATAGAGCTATAGGGACTTGTACTGCCTATTTTATTGGGAATTGTGATGATTCATAGTAGGGAAACCTACAACCAAACTAGTATAAGTAGATAGAAATAGTATAATGAGATGGGGTAGGGATAGTTTGAAAGGCTCGATTTATTCGCGATAGCATTTTGGAGCAAGCCTGTTTTTTCCTTGAGCTGACGTGCCTTAAATCACGCAATGATTCAGCCAACGGTTGGGGGCCGCAAGCAGTCACAGGCAAAATGATGCTACCCTAGCTTTACAAACCCACAGGAAATTTTGCATTGGATAAACAGTATAAATTTCTGGTTGTTGGTTTGGAACATTTTTTCTTTTTCCATATCCTGGTAATCTTACTCATATTTTTCAGACGGGTTGAAACCACCAATCAGGTTTGGTATCAGAGAGTCATTTGATGCTCATCCAGTTTGGACCTTGTATCGGTACAGACCGGCGACCGTTTCAACCGCATGAATGGGTGGTACGTCAGCGGCATATGTCAGGACTGGTGGGGCTGGAGACACTTCTTGCAGAATTCTTCGAACTCTGCAAAATTGACATAATGTGGTTAGAACAATAGTAAACTATCCCCCAAATCACCATAAATAGTTGGTATAAACCATTCCCAAATGAGTGGTTTATGACATTGTTTTAACCACATTAGGGTCCATCTCCAAAGACATGGTTCCTTAGCTGAAACAACGGCCGCTCGACCAACCTGTGGGTTTTGGCGCAGATCATCCCATTGGGCAACAGGGGAACCGGTGTCCACAATCAGTTGTGGGATGATTCTCCAAGTCGTAGGACGTTCCAATTTTTTTGGGGGTTTCCAGTGAAGTTTCCAGTTTGCAAGTTTAGAGTTTAGAGATTTGCTCAGAAGCAACCAGGTTTTTCTGAATTTGGGCTTCCTTTTTGGCGAGGAATGAAGGAGTGTTGCATGTCCGGCACTATAATAGCCCACTGATGTGGAAGTGCACAGGATTCGCCATGTCCCGTTTTTGGACGAAGGGAAACTTTGCAGGAAGCCCCTAGAATTGCCATGAAAACCACATGGCCTGTAGATCTTTCCCCCATCCCCATGAAATTCACCAAAATCGGTAAAAAAATTGACACTAGGGCACCCCACGATCCAGTGGATTTAGCAACATTTAGCAACAGGTTCTCATCAGAATTGACAGAAATTGGTGGACACACTCCCAAATATCATGCATTGTTTTTTAAATGTTTTTATGCATTATATAAGTCATTACATCATATTACATCCAAATGTATCCCCATTATCACCGGTAAGCATCCCCGTGTTTGGTTGGTATATCCTCCATGCTTGTCACACCTAGGCAGCTCCTGAAGGGCGATCGAGATGGGGTCGTGATGTGCCAATGTGCAGAGAAAAAGAAACGGATGCCAGGTATGTGCCCAAAAAAAGATAGGCTTCATCAGGTAGAAATCAGGATTGAATATTGGATATATTGGATTATATTGGCCATATATCACAGATGCGCAAACAACCATGCTTGCTTAAACCATGTGAAACCTGAAGGTTAGATGTTTCAATCCCAAATTGTGCGGTTGCAGTTCTAAATCGGTACGAACCGTTGTTGGGCCGGGTTTATATCAGTTATATTATATCATATCCTGAGGTGAGATCACCATGGTATCCTAGTATTCCACACAAAAATCACAGAAAACAAGACTGCACCATTGAAATCCCATGTAAAATGTGGCTTAAATCCACCATGGTGGATTTTTGAAACACCTGTTTCAATACACCATCGTGCATTTTCTCACCTTCATCTGACGCCAGGCCAAGGTGGTCGCACGTCGCCGCGCCGGGACTGGGCCACGGCGCTCCAGCGCAAGCGCGGCAAGCGCGACGCCGCAGAAGGAGCTGATATTTTGAGGGGTCAAAGAAGCAGCAAAAATGCGGGAAATGGTGGATTTCATTAATGTAGTAATAAACCATCCATGTGTTGATGGTTTATACTTATACTTGCTTTACTAATATTAGTGGGAATGGTGATATAATGCAACATACTACCGACAATGTTATGTATGACTCCGATAAACGGCATAGTTATCGTCAATAGGATATAATGAGATATACTGGGATCCATTGTATAACTTCCAAGGCCACCTATAATCTGCGGGTTTGCTTGAGAGCAGTTAATACCCCCGAGGTATGGTCACAAAAAAAGAGAAAAATGATAGTTACCTTATTCCCAAACAAACCCATGTGATAAACTGGGATTTTATGATTTGAGGAGAACCTTGAGGAATTGAGATGAAATGTGATGAATACATGTCAAGTTGAAGGAAAGTCTGATTCAACACAATGGGGTTCATATGGTTGGGGGGCAAATGACGATGTCAGCAATGGGGATTCAAGCAATAGAAATGGGGATTAAATAAGCAAAATATGCACTTTAATTAACAGAAACAACATGATTTCAAAGATGTTTGCTGGGTATAGGATGGTCTAAATGGTGGGGGTCATGATCCAAAAATATGTCCCTGTGGAGAGGAGGAAGCAATGAGCCGTTCAGCCGCCGATGAAAAGGCCGGGTGGCAAGACACTTTGAGGACGGAAAGGGGGTGACAATTTGTGAGGCAGCCAACGTGAAAAAGAAAAACTTGGATGTGTTCTACCTAGATTTGGATGTTTCAAGCCAAGCAATTTCAAGACTCAAAATGATCAAAGTCAGCTGGCAGTCTTCGCTTTGGACGCGTGTCCAGACCTAATGAACTTGCTGGTCGTAGCATGCCCACTGGAATCCAGACAAGGCTGAAACCAGAACCTAGTGAGGTCAGCTAGTTGCGCATTCTAGTTAGTAAGTTAGTAATAGTCACATGTGCTCCTAAAAATCTCCTAAGTGTATATGATATATACATATATGATATATATATATATATATGATGTATATATATATATATACCTTTGTGTGTGCAGATGAGTCAGATGAGTCATATGAGTGGCTCACATGCAAATCCAAGGATCGGAGCACAGAACCGGCCGAGCTGTGGGAGCATTTGGATGCGGATGTGGAGTCGTTGCTGGTCACTTGGCATCGACACAGTTGGCTCCGAGGATGGGAAAAACCAACTGGATTGGTAGCCATTAATGGCATTTTGATGATGCGTTTTTTGAAAAATCTTTGGCTAAGTTGGGGGAAATATATATATATATACATAGACGTCTATAAACATAGTTATCTTTACTCGTCTTACAATTACAGTATCTTATATACATACATACTAACGGGCGAAACAAATTGGCAATGTTTAGGGTGTTGAAGTTTAGCATCAAAGGTGAAAAAGACTTAGATAAGCTATGGAAATTTGCCCATTTAATGATTTACCTATGAAAATCAAAACTTCATGGATTTTCCATAGCTATTTGAAATTACCAGAGGGTAAGCAAATGGTTCTGCAATGAATGTACCCTGTTTTTGAGAAGTTGGGATTGTCCGCGTCATTGAAGTACTGCCACGCAGCAGCTGCCATGTTCAACAGCTTCCTTGAGGCACCGCGATATGGTGTGGATTCTTTGCATTGCCCCACAATAACCATTCCCCGTACTGATTTGTTGTCCAGCTATCCCGAATGCTCTCGATTTTGTAGTAGTAGTTTTTTATTACCAAAATCATCCTTCCAAATAAGATAGACCCTGCCAAACAGGGTGTTGTAAGGCTACTGTCCTTTCAACAACAATTCTGGGGTAACATTACTTAGAGTCCGCATATTATCAACCACCCCCAATATTACCATGAATGGCTGACCAAGATCATCCCCAAATAGTAACTTTCTCATAGGGTTTACCACATGAAAACCCTGTACGAGGTGAGGTAACCCAGTTGTAACTTGGTTTATAGCCCCATTAACTACCACAAACAACCTAGTTATAATATGATAAACCAAGTTAGCTATCGTTTGGGGGCACCACCTTGTATAGTAAAAACCTTAAAACAAAATCCAACCACCCCCCTTTGGCCGACCCAAGGACCACATCTTCCAAAGCAGCTCACCCTCGAAGCTGCCGGAGAGCGAAGGTCCCATGGGGCCAGCTGCATCTTGGTGGCAGTTGAACTCAGGGCGGAGTTCGGCACGGGCTTTGTCAAAAAAATGGTAGGAAAAATGAAAAACATAAGGGATTAACTTTTGTAATACCCTCCTGTAAACATACAAAAACATGTGGGGAAGCCGCTAGTTTTAGATACTGATGAATCATGTTCCTAAGGAAACCATGGGTTTTCCATATCTAGGTTAGTTTATCCCAGGGTATATTGGCAAAAAATGAGATCTTTTAAACTTTAAAACCCTGGGATTTTGATAATTGAATAGCGTTGTGCGCTCCAGGAATGGTCCGGAATGGTTATTCCAGGGGCAAGGCTGTGCAGGAAAAACGAAAGTACCTGGCAGGCAAACCAGATGTTTGGGTAACCAACCTTAATCCACAACCTGATGAAGCCAGGTCTCTGTATTTTCCGTTGTTGGGGCGTTAAACATTACGCGTTGGCAGTTGGTGTTTAGCAATTTTTGTGGCATATATTACGCTTCCCTATTCAAGCAGGTCTTTGATATCCCCAATTGTATTTTTGATGTTTCCTCCATTTAACAGCATTTGAATCTAGAACACCCACCAGACATGATCAGCCGCTTCATCATGGCACAGCTAACATCAAATGGTTTGAAACAGGTGGTTGCTGCTTCTTTACGGCACCACACAGCAGTAGAACTTCCCATTAGTCGTGCGTGTCAATGTCTAGCCAAAACATCAACCAGGTTACATCCAAGTGACACACCTGGCAGTACACTGCCACCACACATGATTATGCAAACTATAAAGCTTAATTACTGAGGATTTGATGTTCCAATGATATTCCCATCATACCCCTATTATATCCCCATGACATCTCCCTTTTTTCTCCATGCAAAGCTCCTTGCCCTGAGGCGAAGCCGCGCGGAGATTCTTTCGCTGCTTGACTCAGAACCCCCCAAGCCTGGGGCCTGGAGCAATGCGTGTCATTAATCAGAAAATGTGGTAAACCCAATATAAACCATTGATGAATGGATTTTCATGCGATACTTGTTGGATAATGAATCAAAAAATGGGATAGTTGTGGGATTATAATTATAATGGATAATTTCAGGATAACTATAATGATCACCATCACCAATGTAGGGCTTCAGCCCTATGACAGGTATTATGTAAAAACAAAAACACCCCCCCAGTCATGGTTGGTTAATGGGATGGTTGATTATTGGGTTGACCACATGAGTGAATATCTTGATTTTCATGGGTCAATTGTTGGTCAAAAGATGTTAATTCAATAGATTATCAATGTTGCCCCCACTGTGTTAATTACTGGTATTCCTGTTTCTGATGTTTATATTGTGTTTTTTCCCCTGCAATTTTTAACCAGATGGCCTGGGTAAATTGTAGAGACCTCACTGGCAGATGGAGTATCCATGTTCTCCATGGTTGGCCAAATTGGCAAAGGCAAAACCCTCCCAAAAGCATGTCTAGATCAGGTTTACGGAAGTCATCATTGTTTGAGGACCACTG